TGTAAGCCTGTAACTGGAAATAACTCAACATGGTATACACATGTTTCATTGTTGTTTAACTGCTGTTTATTTGGAAGGTTTATTGAGGTATGGCTGTAACTTTGGAGAAGGCTGTTTATTCAGGTAACTGCTGTTGTAACTTTGGTATTTTTCTGAAGTTACGGCTGTAACTTTGGAGAAGGTTGTAACTGGAAATAACTCAATATGGTTTTGGAATGTTTCATTGTTGTTTAACTGCTGTTTATTTGGAAGGTTTATCAAGGCATGACTGTAATTTTGGAGAAGGCTGTTTATTCAATTAACTACTATATGAAATTAACCTACCGTTCCATAGTCTATAATGCTCCTATCACCCTTCATGAATAGTTGAAATTTTCAAAGTCTCGAGTCTTAATTTGGGACATAATTTTCCTTTCTTTAGGATTCAAATAATATCTCCAAATACAACTATTTATATGTTTTTATTTTCTACTTTTGGAAGACTTTTGATTATTGTTGTTGTGTTTGGAGATATTATTCTCCGTTTTATGCTCTCTGGAGTGCCGCATCATTTTCTTTTTTAAAGTGGTGTATCTGTATCTTGCTCAGGAGGAGGAGGTAGATTCTCCTTGCCACTTGTAATTTGTTGTCATCGTTTGACTACTGTTTTCAGTCCGGACAGCTACAAAATGCGCCAAATCTACCATCCAACACTAGATTTCGTCTCATATAGTGCTCTAAACTTAGTCAACCTCCTCTAGTGTCACATCCTTGCTATTTAGCAACCGCCTCCTTGCTACATCCGCTTCCCAAACACCCTTTAAAAGCTCTAGAATGATGTCATATGGTATCAAAGCATGATAAAACCTAAATTTTAAGGATTTATTTATTTTTGCCCCAAACTCATAATTCCAAATAAAAACCTTAATCTAATATCAATATACATGTGTGTGTTTGTAAGCCTGGATTTTGTAGTAAAGGTTGATTTATCAGATTTTAAAGGCTGCAAGGATCTGTAGGAGTTTATTAAGTGGCTCCAGACAGTGGAACACATTTTTAAGTGCAAAAATTTTCCTCAGGATAAAAAAGTTCAATTTACAACCATCAAGTTTAAGAATGCTTCATTGTGGTAAACAAATTTGAAGTGCATATACCAGTATGAGGGAAAAGTAAAATTACTACCTGGTCCAAAATGAAAAAAGAGAGGTAGCTCAAAGATTCATCCCGCATTACTGATAAAATATATTCATAAACCTGTACCATCTACGCCAGTGAGATTTTTTCTGTGGAGGAGTTCATAACTAAAATTGATTAACTCATATTGAAATATATTGGTAGAAAAAGAGGAGCACACATTAGCAATGTATTTCATAGGGTTGAAATCGTTTATTAGTAATATGGTGCAACTGCAGCTAGGGCTGTAACTATTCGATTTCGAGTCTAGCCGGGGCTGGTGCAAATCAACTCGAATAGATTTAGCGCGACTCGAAATCGGCTCATGGCTTGTTATATTCGATTTTAAGTCGAGCCGACTCAAAATTGAATTTATCTCAATCCGGCTCAAAATCGAAACATGTTGGCACCAATTGAGTTATTTGGATCAGTTTCAGTTAGGAATCAACTTGACCTAGCTCAAAATTAAAACTAACTGGCTCAAATTGAGTTATTTGGATACATTCCAGCTCGAAATTGGCTCAAAATTGATTCGTGACTCGTTATATTCAATTTTACTTTGCATTAGTTCGAGCCTATCCATGTATGGCTCAAAATCGACTTGATAAAAATTTGATCCAAAGCTTTGACTCAACTCAACTCGTTTAATTTGATTCGATCTTGATCCGAGCTAAAATTCAAATCGATTTTCGAGCGATTAACTATCTTCGAGCTAAATTCACAGCCCTAGCTGCAATTGTATTGATCCCTACTCCATGTACATATCCTAGCTTTGAATGCGGAGAAAGAACAACATCTGCTACATCTTATAGACATAGTCCAATCCCAAAATAAATAATAAAATTACACCTAGTAGAGCACTGAAGCCGACCCGCTTGAGGGGAAATCCATATAAAGTGTAGAATAGTGGAGACCATCAGTACTCCAAAATTTGCCCCATTCAAGAAATGTTTTAACTGTTATGGTTTTGGGCACATTGTGCTTGATTGTCCAAATAGGAGGGTGATTTTTCCACTATATAGGGAGCAGTTTAAGAAATTAATAGTGACAGAGGAGAGAATGCAGACATTAGAGAGGACTATTAGTTTTCAACTGACAAAAGAGAGATGCTAGTGATTCAAATTGAGCTCATGAGAGAGACTCCAATAGGACTAGCATTGATTGTCTAGAAGATAGTGGTCCGAGGAGCCAATACTAGAAAAGAGGTAGCCCTTGTCGAGGGAGTTGTCAGATCTCTTGATTGATAGTTTTTCTCTTCATGCAATGCCACTTACAGTGGTCCGGTATGTCATAGATTTCATTCCAGGTTTGTTCCTCCAGACGACTTATTTATCAGATGAGCCCATCCAAATACGAGGAGTGAGAGAAGCAGGTTATATATTAACACTTAATTCATGAGAAAACTTGTGTATGTGCAGTTTCATCTTCGTTTATACCAAAAAGGATAGTTATTTATTTTAATTTTATTAGGATAATCTTTGAAATGACTTGTTTTAGAGTTGTCCGGAAGTGACGTGAGCATAGGTTTTGTAGTGGAGTTTGTTTAGACATAACATGACAATGATTGCTTTGATGGTGATGTATCGATTTCAAAAATTTCTATTGAAGAAGGCGAAGCCACCCCCTACCCAAGGAGAATGACTCTTGATGCTTGTATGGGTCTAAGACGCGAACACGAGCGAATGAAGGGGACACGGGAACATAAGCAAAATCACGCTTGGTGTGAAGAGGGAGCAGGATTTAATCCCGCGATTGTAGCATGCCATGATTGTCTAGATTCTGTGATTGCTAGAATCAACTCGAGCAGTCTAACTGAACCGAGAGTACTTTCAACGAGTTTTCTTTCTCTTTGCTGTCACTTGTTCAACGGACCCTTGTTTCCCTTTTCTTTATTATTAATTAGGGTTATTTTATAATGGGAACTATTTATAGGTTATTTTCTAATTCGGGAAGCTTTTTTATTATTGTTATTTTGCTTGGTGATATTATTATCTATTTTATACTCTCTGGAGTGCTGTTAGTGCTATTCAATTTTTCTTTTGCAATCGATGTATCTGTATCTTATTCATGAACAGATGGTGCATTGTCCTCCCACACTTACATTGTCATGTCATTGTTCAACTACTGTTTTTCTCATCACAATCAATGCACATTGGTGCAATGAGCCACCTCTTTGTTGGCACCTCTCATTATTATGGTGACTACTGCCATTGTAGTGATAGGGCCTAACTTATTGATGTATGTCTTATGATTTTACACTTATTAAAAGCTTAAATCTTGTGTGAAAAAAATTATTACATTAATCATTAGTTTTATATTTATTTTTTCGATTTTGTCGCACTTTTAATAATTTATTTTAGTTTTATTTTTATAAACATGTTTGTGATGATTTGACATAAGAGAACGAGTTGTTTTTTTTATTGTTCTGATTTTTTATTTGGTTTGTGATTGATTCACTATTGATTTGGCGATGGATTATATGCCGTGAGATTCGTAGTCTTATTATGACTAGATCTTTAGTTTCTATGGATCTTTGAAGCTCATGGGTCGAGCAAATTATCCAATGCTGGTTTGCTCCTATTAGTGTTATTGTGGTTGGATACTGATTTTGTTTGTTTAACTATCTGGTTCCTGATTGCAATAAGTATGACATTGTGCCTGTCTTGATATTTGGAGTCATTGATTTTTTCTTTTTTTTTTTGTTTGGGTGGGGGAACTAAGAAATGCATAGGATTTTAGGATACCTATTTATAGTCTTATCCACGTGAACTACCTATTGCCTTTGAATTGTGATCGTTCCTTTGACATTATTGACATTGTATGAAAATTTGAAAATTATAATGCAATGAGCCATGTAATGAACTTCAACATTTGGCTTACTAAAATTTAATTTTCTTTCAATCTTTTGTGTACTTAACCAATTCCAATTTCTTTCTATCTTTTGTGTCTCATTAGATATTGAGTTCTTTGAGTGTGGTGAAGGTGTGTACCAATTTTCCATTGAGATAATCTCCTTGTGTTGGTGTAAGGTCTATATATTTTTGTTTGTTTGTTAATATTTTATTTTGTTCTCTCTCTTTTAGATAATCCGATATTGGGTTTGAAAACATGATTGATTTTAGTTAAATTGGCTACAATTGATTTCCCAATTGCGGCGTGAATTTCATTCCAAATGTGGGTTTTGGTGCCTTGAAATTTATTGTTTTTTGGACAACCATTAAATTATCATTTGTCACATGGTTCTCATTTTTTCAAGCTTATATAAAAAGAAGAGGTATTTTTAACTGATTATTTTTATAGTTGTGAATTAGCTTCATGTATTGTATCATTTAGCTGAATTAGAATCTATAGACTATAAGATGCCGTACATCACCTAGAGGGTCTAGCTCCAATATTTTTTAATTGTTTTTTCCTTTGTCAAGAAACTATTCAGGCAACCTTCCTTCACTATTTAACTAATATTATGCTTGACATGTGTACATTTTTTGGTGTTGTTTTCATGGTCCTGCTAATAGAGGAAGTACTCACCATCCCTTTCACTAGTGGAACCCAAGAGCTTCAACGGCCATTTGAAGTATTTGTGCTTTCTTGTGGCAGTCAAAACTTTAGGCAAGCTCTGGTTCAAAGCATTTTCGTTATGCTCATTAGGTGTGCAAAGAGGATTTGGGATTACTAAAAACTTAACACTCATGGTGGAAGCTGCACGGAACATTTTTGATAGTTTATGTTAGGGTACTCTTGTGATCCCTCAAAATGGATGATGCAGAATAGGGTCTCTTGTCGAGCAAGTGAATTAATCAAGCAATTAAAAAAAAGAGGGTTAGTCGTGGAATTTATGAACTCTTAGTCCTTTGATAGGTGCTACTTTGGTGACAAGGCATTCCAATTCATGAATTTCTAACATTTCACCTTTGTGGTGCATAACAGAGGTTCTCAAGGATTACACTTCACTTGGAGGTATCTGAGGAGTGTCTGACAACTCTTCTTAAGCTTTTGAGAGCTCGATCGTTGAGCGATCTGCATCTTAAAAATATTTATTGATCACTTTCTTTCACTTGGAAGCTCGAAGAACCAAAGCAGCGTTGTGTCTTTTAGTGTGGCTCGAAGAACCAAAGCAGCGTTGTGTCTTTTAGTGCAGTTAGCAGCATGTTGCACATGATATCATCTGATATCACATGTTGTGCATTCATGGCTTTGAAGCTAGTGAAGTGCTCTACCAAATCAATTGTTTTTGACACAAGTTTAATCGTGAAACCCTTGAATTGCGGTTCCTTCATGATTGAGGCACAAAGAGCGGTGTTGATGCCACTGCTCTTGCAGGCTTTGATCAACCTTGGTTCTCCTCAGGGTGTCAAGGCATCATCTTCCAGACCCAGTGTTCTCGAGCTCTTAGGTGACCTCCTCCCTCGCCCAACAACATTATTGGGTTTGTTGGTGGGGTGTGTTGAAGGAAAAATCTAACTGAATTAGCAAGCAAGGAGTTTTTAGGTCAAATTGACATTATCCATACCCTTTGGTGACATAGGTCACCACTCATCCTGCCATCCATCGCAGTCTTGCCAGTGCTCTTCATTTTTATTATTTTTTTTAGCCCTTATTTTTTTCCTTTAGTCAAATCTCAGTTAGAGCTCCAAACATTGACGCCGAAAGAATCCGTATATCTAAGTTACATATTCCTTTAGGTTTTCTTTGACTGAAAGGGTATTTTAAATTTCGTAGAATGAGAAGAGAACTTGAGAGGGTGAGAGAAAGATGGAGTCGGATATTGAAGGAAAGAAAAGATATGTAGCTTTGGTGATAACTAAGAATCACTATATTTGTGCTGGCGTACTTTTAGATTCACCAATGCAGATGAATGTTTCATGAAATAAATCAAATAAATTTATGACAATCTGCCTAACCGGTTGAATGCTTCACTTAGTCCGTGTTATAGTTAACTCTTGTCCTTCATTGCAATCTCTATATTTATTTTATTGAAGCATTTTCTTAAATCTCTAACTTTCTGTTTCTTTTTTTCATTATTTGTTTTAAATTAAAATTCATGCATTATTTATTATGTACAGCTTGTAGCCATTTGTTCTACTTATTATTCACAGCCAATGTTGGATAAGATTTCTGGACATTTGGGCTTTGATTGACTGATATTAACTGCTTACAGGAAAGAGAATTGTCTGAGGATGGAACATCTCCATCTGCGGTTGATGGCCAAGAACAAAACAGTGGGGATCTTAATTTTGAATCCACGGGCGACTCCGTAAATTTCTTGTCGTTTAGCTTATTGTTTTGTGATACTCTTGTTCTTGATGTACTTTCGAATCCACTTATCATTTAGATCCAAGTTTCATGACAGTTTCCCAGCCACGTTTTCTATTTTTTCAACTTTGTTCAAATCAAGTATAACTTCGGTTTTTCTTTTGGGTTGTCTTCTTTTGAGAAAAAAAACATACATTATTCTACGTATCGCTTGAAAATCACATGCCTTTTATTGTTTTTCCCAAAAGGAAAAAAAGTGTGATAAAAACTTTATATTTTCAAAGGGAAAAAAATTGTGATAAAAACTTTATATTTTAACGTGTCCTTCAGAATTAGTAATTCATTGTTCTTTTTTCTTTTTTTTTGTAAGGTATTCATCTCCTTTTCTTAGGAAAAACATGAGCCGGATTCGATGGCGTTGCTGGATTTCAAGGACTCAATTAATAACATTGGTGGGAACTTTGCTGGTGAAGTTGACATCCAGGTAGTCTTAAATCTCAATACGTGATCATGATTTTTAGCTGTGCCAAACTACATCTCTTAAAGTAGTAGATGTGTGCACTTTTTTAGTTGAAATAATGTTGATTGAATATTTTATAGGATAAGGATGATGACATGGATGTTGCTAGTGGTTCTCCTTTACCTGGAATGAAGGTGAATGCTGCTATGTTCTCATGCAGGAACTGATACAATTAGATTCTCTTTTTGTGTAGGTCATCTGATTTACTTTGGTAACTGTTGCAGAATATTAGAGAATCCATTCGTATTTCCAAAGCCACGATTGATATTTTGAAAGATCAAGTTTTTGGTTTTGACACTTTTTTTGTGACAAACCAAGAACCTTATGAGGTATGAAAATTTCTCAGTCAGAGCATCAACAAGATCTGTATATCACATATTACTACTTCATGTTTTCTAGTGAAAACTCAAAGTCTTCCCATATAATTGAACCAAAATTCTTATTAAGCCATTAAAAAATGTATTACACCAGCTAGGTCTTGCACAACTAAGAAAGTTAAAAAAAAAATTGTGTAGTGACAGCTAAAGTTGCAAAGGTTCTGGGGTATACCGTGTGCCGGGTTTGATAGTTGAAAATACATAGGGATGGTTTAAGCTTTTGGGCGGTTAGGGGAATTGGAACAGAACAAATGCCAGAGGACTACGAAGGAATGAAGCTAGGCGAAAGCTAATGTAATTTGAGATTATCAAATTGGATAATTAAATGATAATAATTTGGACAATGCTTGGTGAATGCATTTCAGGTTGAATTAGGATATTAAATTATTTTACGGTACCAGTGATTTTTTCCATTCTATTTTATATGCAGTTATATTATTTTTAGCTATAAAAAAAGACTGACTAAAAAATCAAATTGTTTGTTTGGCTTTGACTTGAGTTAAAATGATTAAAGGTCAAATAATATGAATAAGTTTAGTTAAAATTAAAATTTAATTTAATATATAATGTTGAAAATTAATTAAAGTAGTATTTCAAAATTTAAATTGCATCATCTCTCATATTTGTATTTAATAATATATTCATCATGGGATAGTTAATTTGAATTTAAATTCAAAACTTTGCTACATTGGCAATTATTTATGGCGTTAAGTATCACCTTATATTCCATGATTTAGTAGTTTTGATGAAATTGAGATATTCGTAGGACCGTCCGTCTACTTCCGAAAATTTGTAAAAAGCCTTCATAATTTCAAGGAAAGTTAAAAGAAAGAGTGCTAGAAAAGTATTGGGAGTACTTGAAAAATGCAAAAATCAATAAATTGAGAAAATAATTTTAAAAAAAGATCAAATAAAAATGAAAATATTTCAATGCCTCCCAAACATACCCCAATTTACGCACTTTAACACATGAAAAATACCAAATAAAAATAATATGCCCAAAAATATCATTAAACATGTGTATAAATACTAAGAAAATTTTTAAACACTTTAGTGTGATCATACATAACACAGATAGAGTCGTCAATTCCCATGACTTGGTAGTTATCCAATGAAATAATATTGCAGGCCTTCACCATGATCTTAATTTTGCATTCCCTACAACGACCACTCCTAGTCATTGTAAGGCAAAATAATGATGGGTACCGATTAGTTTATTAAATCTTAAACCAAAATTATACATCAAAATATAAGTTAGTTAATTTAATTCATGTTTCACATTCTAGCTTAAACTAGTCTTTATCTCTACTTGAGATAACATCCAGAGTAATATCTAGTGACCTTAAAAGCTCAATATGATAAGCAATTATAAAACCTAATTCAAATATTCATGGAATGTATGTTAATCATTATATCGATATGAAAAATTAATATAAACATAAACTAGCTTTGGACATTACTTGTGATAATTATAACATCGTCTTTCTTGAATAACAAATAGCATGATAATATGTTAGAATTGCTGAAGGAAATTTAAAAGAGACATTCAATGTACAATCATAATATACACTACATTAGTCAAGTTTATAGATATTAACATAAACGGCTATTCATTTCATTATGTTCATTTGCTTATTCATTTATTTTTTAATGAAATATTTTATTTTATTCAACGACTATACAATTCATCGACTTATATGTTTATTAATGGTCATAAATAGTAAACTATGTTAGACCCACATCACATATAATAGGGTTGGAAGCCCATCCTAAAGACTACAAAATGAGGACCTCTTTTATCTTCATAAGAGCTCGTTTTTTTGTCACCCTAATTGTTTATGTCATTATAAACATGTCAATATAAGAATTTTTTCGCATGCACGCACGCACATACGTAGATACGCACATACACATGTACCACAATTGATGAGAAGAAATGCCAAGATTGAATGAACCGAAAAATGGGAACACATTTTTCAAGAATTAAAAAAATATCTGACAATTGCACTTGTGTTAGCTATCTCATCAGGATTAGAAGGATTCTAGATTTCTAGTGATGCATTTTCAAGAGGACTGAGATGTGTTTTGATGTAGAATTGAATAATAATTGCATATGCATCTAGATAGTTGAAATCTCAGGAAAGGAACTATCTGATACTCAATCAAATGGGTAGGCATTATTTTTTCTCCTAAGATCCAGAGATACTATTTTATGAATTGAAGGATGACATTCTTAGTGATCATCAGAGCTTGAAATGCATCTTCTTACAAAAAAGATCAAATTGAAGTTAGAGAAGATTGCTTGAGCTTATGAAAGGCTGTGATCTTGATATATGTATTGTCCTAGCAGAGCGAACGTGATAGTCGATATTTTAAATCGCAAGTCCACAAATAGTGCAAAATAAATTGTTACTCAAATGCTATAATTAATTAAAGAGAGGAATGCTTTTTAGTTTAAGATCAAAGGATCTGATAATAGTGGGTATTTGCGTTTGATGATATTGCAGTCAACGGTAACAAGAAAAAATTAAAGATCACAAAAGGTTAACAATTAATATTAGATATTGGTTAATCAAATGCAATAAAAAGGCAATATATTGTTGTAGATGAAAATGGTGTTATAAAAAATAAGTTACAATTGTGGATTCCTAATAATTCAAAATTGAGATAAGAAATTTTCCAGGAAGTTCATCATTCAAGTTACACCATTCACCCAGGCAAGACTGAATTATACAAAGATTTAAGATTGATGTTCTGGTAGTCAGATATAGAATAAGATGTTGCCAAGTATGAATTAAAGTGTAAAGCATATCAAAAAGGAAAGGTCGAGTTTTAGAGATTAGTGAATTATTATGTCCTTGTCTATACTGGAATGAAAAAGAAAAATATTTACAATTAATATTATTAAAGGATTTATGCAGGAACACGATAGCATTTTGGTGATCGTTGACAATTTAGCTAAATCAGCTCACTTCTCGTCAATTAAGTAAACTAAGTTAGTTGATAAATTGGCCGTATTATATATTAAAAAAATTATCATATTGCATATTATTTTAAAGGTGATTATTTCAGACAAGCTGAAGATTTACTTCTAGTTTATGGATATGCAGTTACATGTTATTGCATTATTTCATCCACAAACTGATGTACAATAAAAAATAGTTCATATATCAGAAGATTTATGAAGTTTATATGTTTTAGTTTTTTGGAAGCAGCTGAGAGGACTACATTCCAATGATCGAGTTGTTATACAATAAGAACTATCAATCTAGTATCAAAATAACTTTAAGCTGGGTTGAAGTAGGAGAAAGACAATTGTTGAGTTCAGAATTAATCGATAAATCTACATAAAATTAGATTAATCAAAGATAAGATAAGGCTATAGAGAACCATATTAATCAATGATAAATTGAAAGCTTCTCAAAATCATCAACAAAATATTATGATCGAAGTTATAAAATTGTAGAGTTCGAGTTTGGTGATTTTGCATTTTGGAGACTGATGGAGGATAGTGTATATTTGTCCAGAGAAATAAGTTAAGTTCTCATATTCATATGACCATTTGAAATTATTGAGATTGACAAAGTGGCTTACATGTTAACTCTACCTATGGATATGTTAGAGATCCATAATATTTTTCATATTTCAATGATAAGAAATTAAGTTACTAAAATTGACGAAAGGATCCCATGTGAATAAATTGAAGTGCATTGAGATTTGTCTTACACTAGGAACTTGAAATAATTCTAAAATTTGATGTCAAGAAATTGAGGAATAACTAAATTCCATTTATTAAAATAAAGTGGAAACACAAGTTAGCTAAAGAGGCAACTTGGGGAAATGAATAAGAAATTAGATAATTTTTTCTGCTTGTTTGAATGGCTATTCATAAATTTTAATGATGAAATTTTAATAAGGGTAAAATGCCCAAAAAAGTAACTTAAGGCTTAATTTAAAACATAAAAATAATTTTTATATATATATATATATATATATATATATCTTTACATACATACATACATACATACATAGATATATTGTATGTGTGTGTGTGTGTATCAAATTTGAAGTATGTTTATGCTAAACTGATTATTAATTTAAAAAGAACATCATGATTTTATAGGCTGCTAATACTTAAGAGATAAGTTAAGTGAGCCTAAGGGAGTCTTATCATGAGGTTAGCTTGGTAATTAAGGTGAGATATACAAATTTGCTAGAATAAGGAACAATTTTTATGGGATTAATGTTTGCTAGTATTTATAGGTAAATTTATTTGTTATGCATTTGCATTTTTAGCTTATTGCATACTATGCATATTTAATATCATTGATAAATTAAATTCAAGAGGAGAAAAGATAACAACAACAACAAGCTTTTACACCACTAAATGGGGTCGACTACGTGAATACTTTTTCTCCATTTTGTCTTGTTGAGTGTTATATTTTCATTTAATTCTAATAAATTAAGATTATTTTTTATACAACATTCCCAACACTTTTTTAGATCTACTTCTTCCTTTCTTAACATAAGTTGAATCTAAAACATCCACTTTCCTAACCGGATCATCAGATGGTCGACGGTTAATGTGATCAAATTATTTAAGATTACTCTCTCTAATCTTTCCTCCAACTGGAGCTGCACTAACTCTTTCACATATAGATTCGTTTCGCATTTTATCTCTAATTGTCAAGCCACTCATCCAACTAAGCATTCTCATCTCCGCAACACTTAACTTTGTTACATGCTTCTCTTTTAAAGGCCAACATTCTACGCCATTAAGCATTATAGGTCTCAACACCATCTTATAAAATTATCCTTTAAGTATAAGCGATACTTTTCTATTACACAATATGCCTGATGAATTCCTCCACTTCAACCAACCAACCTGAAATCTACTAATAAAGTAAAATTCATGCAAACAATTATTTGTTACTTACAACTTTACAACATATTTATAGAGATGAAATATATTTGCAAATATTGATAATTATTTGTCACATTATATTTCTTGTGCATGTTAGCAGTGATTGTTGCAAACATATTCAAGTTAAATAATAAATGCATATAACTATAATTATAATAGATAAAATTAATTTATGGAATATCATGTTTGTTATGATAAATAGACAAGTATAGTGTTGACCTAAACATATTTAGATGAGATGAGCCTTGGAAAAAGAATTGCTTGAATTCTTGACTCTTAGTATTAAGGTTGAAGCATATTAATTGATATTAAGGGCTCAATGATACGTTGGGATGACCGACCTTTATCAGTTGTTATTACGGCCAATGATCGGGATGTCAACCCAAAAAATGAAATATGTTAAGGGCTATGTGAATATTGTAATATTCTTAAGATAAAGAGAATTAAAAATAAGAATGAAAATTGCATGTAAATAAATGCACATATGATATTGCATAATATAACAAATAAATGAATTGTATGTAGTAATTTTATTTTTTCTAACCACTGTTTCATACACCTTTTAATTATGTTTTATGCACTTTTAAATATTATTTATTGTTTATTTATTATTATTATTTTTATTACTCATATTGCTCACCAACCAACATGCAAGTTACTCTTTTTTTTTTGTATTTGAATCTTATTTTAGCGTTGTTTATTTCATTGAGTGGTTTTCAGGGAGGGATAAGGAGTAGGTGGACCGTTATTTAAGTGATGTGTCCTTCTATATAGCTTTTGAACGTACAATATTAGAGGATTATAGTAGAATTTTGAGGGATATATTACTTAATATTTAAAGTATTTTTTTATAAACTTTATATTTTATTTAAGAATTGTTAATGTTCGCTTTCTTGTTTTCATTTGATATCAATGAATATTTGATGAATTGAAACGTAAGAGTTTGTTTGTGATGATTTGGTGAGACCAATTCTCCATCCGCTTGATCCTAATGAGTACTTGTCGGGATGAGTGTTTGTAAAAATCGAGTCTTATTGAGCCATTCTTCCCTGTGACAACCTCAATAAGGTTTGATCAGGCTCATTGCACTTACCATCCATGGTCACATAACACCTAAATGATCACGAACTATTATACTAATCTTTCATGGTTGCAAACTTTTTTTTTGTAAGCTAAAATTCCTCCAATTTGCTCTTGAAATTTTCAACTTAGATCTTCCTCACTTTTGTTATTGCATTTGTGGAAACAAAGATTTTCCAAGGTGTTCCTTTTTATGATAAGTTGATATAAAAATTTCCATGGTCGATTTAATCAAACCTTTTTGCCAGTTAAACACACAATTACGAAAGAAAAATGTGCTTCAAGCTCATGCTTAGGAGTTCCTGACATTGTATTGCTTCTAATGTTTACTCTAAGCTCCTTGCATGCCATTTTACTTAGCAGGGCGGAGTTTTGTTTCGAGGCAATCTAAGAGGACAGGCTGCTAAAAGTTATGAGAAGATAACAAAGAGAATGCAGGTGATATGCTCTATGTTCTTTTTCTAAATTAATTTTATGAACTTTTTCGAAGGGAGATGTTCACGTCTCTTTGGAGAAGTTATGCTTGAGCCCTAACCTCCCCATCTTTTTTTTCATTGTTAATATTCTTTTTTAACTAGTATATCCATTGTGTTTAATGCCATTTTGTAATCACAGGATAGATTTGAGGATCAATATAAGTTTTTCCTTCTTATTGATCCGGAGGATGATAAACCAGTTGCAGTTGTGGCACCTAAACAAGCTTTCCAAACTGAGGCAACTGGTAATGTGAATTTACACTTAGCTACCTCTCTCCTGATTATATTATCAGCATTCATGTTCTGTCCTATTATTTTTTGTTGCAAGCTGCAATTAGCAGATTGCGAGTACTCTCTTTTTTCCTCCTGAATAGAATTGGTATTGTCATAGATTTTACTTTAGATTCTACTCACTTTTCTTTAAATGCTTGTATGTCATTTGCAGCTGTCCCTGAATGGTTTGCTGCCAGTGCTTTTGGATTGGTCACTATTTTTACGTTACTTCTCCGAAATGTACCTGCACTACAGTCAAATTTGTTGTAAGGAGTTTCTCCACGCATCTTTTATTTCTGGAGAGATGAAATTACGCATTTCTTCTTTTTTAGTTTTCCTGCTTTAGGTTGGGGTAGGGTGGTATATGGGGGTGATTGTCATATCATAAAGGGAACTGGAGGTGAATATTTGTCCCATGCTTCTGTAATATTAGTCAAAAAAGCTCTCACTTTTTCATTTTAACATTGATTGTTTCTGCATCATTTTGTCATGACTGAGTTATTGCAGCTTTATGATAATAATTTCAAACTGTACATGATTTTCTGTTCATTTTTTGTTTTATTGATTTATGCTTTTCTGCTCTATTTTATATGCTAATGCAATGCATGAGAATTTTTTTGTTTAGTCATATTTGTCATTGGTAAGTGTTGCACTATCATAATGATGGAATAGAAGCTATACACTGAACCTGAAATCTAGAAATCACAGAATTTGAAGAAAGCATGGCATCCCGAATTGAAGCAGACACTTTGTATGACATTGTTACTTCAAACTACTGCAAAAGAAGATTCCCCTTCACACATGCCAGTGATAATCGTTAGAACTAATCAACCTTAAGGCTTGAGTTCAAAAGTTCCCTTTTTCAATGTTATATTCTTAAATGACCCCTAGGACGCATGGTCAATTATCATGGGAGATATGAACGCATAAAATCATTTCCAGGAAGCATAACCATGACTATTATATTGTATACTAGAATATTTAAGGGCTTAGGATTTAGAGTTATAAGTATTTAGAATTTAATTGTATTCTAAATATAATATAAATAGATTCAATGCATTTTGGTGTTTGCTTGGTTGTAGAATTAATTTTGGAGATTACTCTTTGCTTGGTTCATTATAAAGCAAACTCTATTATTTGTTTCTAGTGCAATGACATTATGGTTAGTGGATAGGGCCGCAAATGAACTAAGTTTTTGACAATTTACTCATGGCTCAACTCGATTAGAGCTAATTCATGACAGTTTGATTAACTAATTGAACAAGCTTAGACATTTTTTTAAATAAGCAAATAAGCTTGATTTATGTATGCATGACTAGCATTGTTTAAAGCTCATAAACAAGCTCAATTAAAGCTTGATCATGAACTATATTATTTAAATATTTTTTCTAGGCTCAACAGGTTTGATTTGATCGGAATGGTCAGTGGATATAGCTGCAAATGAACAGATCTTTCGACTAATTACTCATGGTTTAGCTTAATAACAACTCATTCATGATAGTTTGATTAACTAATTAAACAAGCTTAGCCATTTTTGTAAATAATTAGTTATTATTAAACAAACTTAAACAATTTGTTGCTTGATTTATTTATGACCATGAATAGTATTGTTTAAAGATCATAAGCAAGCACAATTAAAGCTTAATCATGAACTGTATTGTTTAAATATTTTTTTAGGCTCAACAAGTTTGATTTGATAGGCCTATTATTTTTTCAAATAAGCTTCTTGTATAAAGCTTGATTAAGGTTTATTTATTTTATCAAACAAGTTACTCTTTAGCGGGCTCAATAATCCTAATTTGAATCAAACTCGTGCCGGGCTCAATCAACCATGATCTTAAATGAAATGAGCTTTAACACAATTCTAAATACTCAAATCAAGTTCGGATTTGATTGTAATAAAGAGCTTGGCCTAGTTTAGTTCAATTGTAGTGGTTTTATTGGTTATTACATTGGACCCAAGGGGTAAGGGTTAGGTGGCTTGTGGGTCTTTGGTGGGGTTAGTCCCGTTTGCAAATATTGGCAAATCAAAGGTATTGCACAAGGCATCACAGATACATGTTATCGTTGTTGTCATGGAGGCATCGCTTATGCGAGCTCACTTTGGCATGGGGTCACAATATGGAAATGTTGCGCAAGTTTGTAATGTAGAACTGCCGCACAATGGAAGGAGAACGTGAATGCTTTATTCAACATGTAATATAATCAAATTTTATCTTGATCGAGTGAAATCTAAAGGCAACAGAAACCCTCAACAAATTGTCAAACCAAGCACCTGCAAATTAAATATCCTTGATTTTATGTTTTACTATACGCTCAAAAAACTCTAAAATAAACAACTAAGAAAAATTGTGATTCTATTAGCGTATTCCTTCTCTTCTAAGAACTATCACCAGTTGTTCTTGCGACAACCTTGGCATTCTAAGCATATCTACTTTATTTTTGATTTGAATCAAGTGATTTAACACTCTTTTTCTTCATGAACGATTACTTACAACTTTGTTGCCGAACACTTTGGCTAATTTAGTATTTGTTTAACCTAAATTATAACAAAAGCCACATATTCTTCTCCTAGCCAACCCCCTAAAGGAAGAGCAAAGGAGTTTGCTTTTGGACAACTCTAATTAGGTTTTGATGATATTTTCATGGTAATCCACTTTTATGATCCCTACCTTATGTCGTTGTCATAAAAGTTTATTCCTTAGTTGTTGCATTGTTCATGTAGGAAACCTTACGTTTCTACATATTATTTGGGAAACCTAACCATGAAAGCATGGAATACTTTTTATGTTGAGAAATTTTAGAAACCTCGTTCATAAAAAAATTAATTTTGTTTCTTAATTTTTTGCCTACGAACCTGATGTTCTCTAATGAGAACGTCGTTTGTTGAAAAAAAATTCAATTCTATAGCTTTACACTGTTGATCCTTAAAATAAATTTAAAAAAAAAGAAAAAGAAAAAGAAGTATAATTAATTAAGTTAAGTTGTTAACAACTTCCACAGTTTTTTGTTTTGGCACTGTATTCGTATTAAGGTATAACTGCTTCCGCAGCTTCAAATTTATGTGAACTTACAAATAACTTAAATGTGAAATATTTAAACTTGCAAAATGATTTGAATATGAAACATGAAAACTTGTGGGTGAACTGGAATAAAATATGAGTGGAAGAAACCAATTACAGATTTAATGAGTTGAGACTTGATTCGTAATGATACCCATCCACATACAATTCTAATTCTGCTTGTGCTAAAAGAAGATGAATACTTATTCTATCGGGATGTGCTTTGGAATATCGACGCCAACAAGATTAACTTATCGACTGATTACAACGTTCTCACTACTTTCAACATGACTGATCTGACACTATAATACGACGATCCAGAAGTTTTGACATATGAGATTGAAGCTCTCCCAATCCTGGGAGACTGTTCCTACGATCCCTGCTAAGATGTTCCTGCAATCCCTGCTACAGTATCACGAACCGCCATGGGAAATTGCGGCTTGAACTGGTCTAGGAGGGTTGATTGACCTTTCCTTTCCATGAATTTCCCTCCTATTGATAGTGGGATCCACTCCTATTTACCCTAGATCTATATGTATGTTTTCGTGTTTTAGGGCAATTTTTTTATGTGTTTTGTATCGAGACAGCTGCTGACATCTCTTCTTTCCTTCGTGGGTTGCATCCTAGGGTTCTAGGTGGGGCTTCAACTGTGTCTTGGCCTTCGGATGGTGTGTGTCCACCCAAACAACCTCATTCCTGTTGTGCTAGTGCTCCCAACTTGCTGCAGCCGCCCATGGCAACCGGGGAACATTGCCTTCTTGTTGTTCCGCCTGCCACCACTCAGAACAGCAGCCATATATGTTTTCTCTGCATTTTTTCACCTCCCTTGCTGCTACTAGTATTCCTTTGTTGCCACCACACCCGCTTGCCATTCTGATCCACCCAGCCAACCTCCACCACCCTTAGGATACACTTTAATGGTGTTTGCTTGTGTCTGTTGTTGTATTTCCCTTTTAAGTGTGTTTAGTTGTAATCACCTATTTGCTTTCAGTAATAACATTTGCTTTCCTAATGTTGTTTTGAGTTAAGTACAGTATTAATAATCTTTTGTATTAGTAAGCTCTTTTTTTTTTTCATTTCAGTAGTTAATTGTGTCAAAGTTGATTTCTGAATTTTGCTATATAAAGTATAGTAGTAGGGTGGATTATGATGAATGTTTTGAAGTTATGACATTGAACTATTAGAGGAAACTATTTGCTTTTGTTACTTTTAGCATGAAAATGGAATTTCATGACAACTTGCATAAATCGGTTTGTTATTAGATTCGAGTGCTTCAACCCTTCAAATTCTTTTTGTTTGTTTCATAGAAATATGTTGACTCACCATGCCAAATCCTTCAAATAACTTTTTTGCTAGACGCATCACTTCTTAGATAATTTTTCCTAAACCTCTTTTTTGGAGAGCACAATCAGAAATCGCCGGTTACTAATATTATACTATTCCTTAGGTCAATCTTTAACAATCTTGACTTGTTGAAAGACGGCCTTCCTGGAGCTATTGTTACTGCTCTTATTTTAGGCTCCCATGAAGCTGGTCATATTTTGTTGGCAAGAGATGTTGGAGTCAAGCTTGGTATACCATTTTTTATCCCTAGCTGGCAGGTAAGTTTATTCCCATGCACTTCAGTTTATCATATAATGACTTTTTATATATATATATATATACTCATTTTCATACATAGGTTTAAAGCACCAGAGCGCTATGAATATAAAGATGAAAGTTTAAGTGTGAGATATGCAAATAAATAATACTTGTGCGCTACGCATGTAAATTTCCATTTTTTTTACTCCAAAAAATTAGTTTATGTGACTTGTTTTTCTATTGTGCTCTTTTGCCCTCTGATTGAAAGGTAAATCAATTTGCTGCAGATAGGGTCCTTTGGGGCAATCACAAGGATTCTTAGTATTGTGGCCAACCGCGTGGATCTACTCAAGCTGGCCGCCGCTGGACCATTGGCTGGATTTTTATTGGGGCTTGTGTTTTTTCTATTGGGTTTGATCTTGCCTCCTGCTGATGGCATTGGGATCATTGTTGATCCTGCTGTTTTTCACGAGTCATTTCTCGCTGGAGGTATTGGTGAGTATATGATTTCTAAGTCCTCAATCAATCTTATGTTTACAAAGATATTTTTGTTCGAAGCTGTCCTTTGGCTCACAGGCCTTTTCTTTTCTTCATTTTTGATTCATTTACAAGCGCAATTTTTTGTGTGCAAACAATTCATAATTCATATATTAACTACCTAATGTCCAATTTAACTCAAAACTACCTATTACAATTATTTAACCTCTAACCTACATAATTTTTTGAAAATTTCTAACAAATATAAGAGTTCATCTTCTTCTTCACATCAAATATTTTTGCAATATTTTTTTCTTATAATTTTGCATAAATAAGCCATTTTCCATTTCCTATAAATATGGCACATCGCTGTCTGTTGGATAACTATTCATGCTTGCAGCAAAGCTTGTTCTTGGAGATGCTCTGAGAGAGGGAACTCCTATATCGGTGAACCCACTTGTTCTGTGGTCTTGGGCTGGCCTTCTCATTAATGGTATAAACATGATTCCTACAGGAGAACTTGATGGTGGTCGTATATCATTTGCTCTCTGGGGAAGAAAGGTAATTTACTTTGTGCATATTATCACATCTTGGATCTAAGAACTTGTTTACAGATTTAGTAATTTTCCGAATTATATTTGGCACGATAGTTAGGTCGAATTATAGTAAACTTTTATAGGAAGATTTACAAGTATTGCCGCTCAATTCTTATGTATTTACATATCTAACACCTAAAGTTCAATTTTTACATTACCTATGCATAAATGTGTATTTCACTTTGTAAAAGTTAAAACAGTGGTATTTTTTATGTAATATGAAATATTTGGGTGATATAAATGTAAAAAAACAATGTATGAAGCCCCATTTTTATAATCTTGTGAATAACACCTTGTACTTTTACTTTTACCTGGCTCGATAAAAACTTGATTAATGTTTATATACACATTTGTTTGTATCTATATAAGTGCATAAATATATGTATAACTTTCAAGTAGACATGTTGATGAAATGCTGTGTGTTTAACTTAGTAAGTTAACAAGTAGAACAGAAGCAAAACTTTCAGCTCGCTTGTTTAACGAACTAAAAGCCGAACGACACTTGAGCTAACTTGAGTTTCTCGTATTTTAACAACTATTGTAGGTTGGTGCTCGATTAAGTGGTGTCACTCTTGCACTGCTCGGAGTATCTTCGCTATTTAGTGACGTGGCATTTTATTGGGCAGTTCTAGTATTTTTCTTGCAAAGAGGTCCAATTGCTCCTCTTCATGAGGAAATCACAGAACCGGAGGGAAAATATGTTGGAATTGGTGTTGCAGTTTTAGTACTGGGACTTCTGATATGTTTGCCTTATCCCTTTACTTTTGTCACTGATGGAACAAATTTTGACTTTTGAATCTTGAATTATTTATGTTAATAAAGCATACATATTTTCAATTTATTTATATATCTTATATTATGTTCTACTATAATACTATATTATGTTTAATGAAAAATTGCCAAGTCTTTATGGAACAACTTTATAATCTCATGTGTATGGATTGCTCTGCATTCATTTTTCTATTTGCTTGTTCCTCAAATCTTTTTTTACTCCACAAATTTATTTATGTTCATGTAATAACTCTTATTGCTCATAAATTAACTTATTTAATATTCTTTAGTAAATTCAATGATAATATATATTACTTAAAATAAAATTTAATTATCTAAAAGTTATTTAATAGTAATATTTAAGACTTTAGTTAATCCTTATTTTTTATTTCAATTAAATTTCTTCTTAATATTTATTTTTATTTATACTTATAAAATAAATTGTTCTTAATTCATATAAACATTAAATATTTATTCAAATAATTTACTTATCTATTAAATTATTAAAGTATTTCTTCAAGTAATACAAATAAATCAAATATCACTAATTCAGGATACACTCAACTTGACATCTAAGTTGCAATCCTAGATAGAATCCAAGCAAAAGAATGAAAAAACACACATCTAGATAGAATCCAAGCAAAAGAATGAAAAAACACACAAAAAAAAGACCTTTTTTTATCATAATTTGGCCCATTACAAAAATAAACTAAATATTCATCAGCATTACAGATCAACAACAACAAAAAGCTCACAAAATAATTGAATAATTACCACAGCCCTTAATAATAATAGACTAAACATCAACAAAAAACACCTCAAGTTGCCATTCTAAATGCAATGAAACAATCTTCACAATGCCACTGTCAGTGTCTTCTACTGCGGCCATTCTGCCTTTTCCTGCCATAGAATTCTGCTTTGCTTGGCTTCAACCCAAGCGGTTTAATGCCCCTTCTCTTCTCTTGGAGAGGCTTCTCATTCTTCTTCTGATTTTTTGAACTTTTGGATAAAAATGAAATCTCTCGCGAGCCGCCGAAGCTGACCTTTACGTCACTAGGAGCGGCAAACCTGTTCTCCAGTGCTGCGGCCCTCTCGCCGAGAGGGAGGGCATCATCCTTTGCGAGGGACACCGAGTTCCAAAATGCTTCGGCGTGGCGCTCATCCTTCACTTCATATAACCTGTGTGGGTGGGGATTTCATGGTTCATGAAATTGCTAAAAGGAATTTCATGCAAAACAGCAATATCCTAAGGCAGTGTTTGGCTGCAACTTTGATTTATGTTAATTAGGATTTATCAAATCTTATAAAACCAGATTTATGAAATATACACTGCGATAACTTTTCTCACGAACAACGGCAGAATAAATCCGTCTCGTAGTCAGATTTACTAAATCTGGATTCCTAAAGTGGGTATGCTAAAAATATCATGAAAACATACAATAATAACAATAATAATAACAAATCATAGAATCAAGGCCTATAGATCATATTACAAATTAAACAGGAAACTTCAGAAAAAGGTAGGGGCATTTACATACATAGCTTACAATTCTTAGGTATGTACATATTTCGCATCTAAACTTTTATATTTACATAAATATCAATCAAATCTTTATTATCACATAAACAATAGAACTATTCTCACTTTTTAAAAGTGAAATATACTTTTTCATACATAGGTTTAAAGCACCGAAGTACTATATATATATAAAAGTAGAGGTGTGAGAAATGAAAATACATAAGAATTGTGTCACGTATGTAAGTTTCCCTAAATTGATGGATATGCCTATTAGACGATGCCAAACACTAAAAAAAATAAAAGAAGAAATTCCAGAAAAATGGGCAAAAAATATGTAAACCAAAAGCAGAAAGTCATCAAGATGAAAATTACAGGCGCGAACATTATGTAAATTGAAGCTATTTCACTGCCGAAAATCATTATCATAAAGAATGATAAAATGCAGCAGAATACTGAAAAATCTAGCAACAGCACAACACATCTATCCAGTCAAAGTACAAGGCCAAAAAAAATTGATATCAGTTTAATTGTATGCATTAATTAATTATATATATATATATATATATATATAAAGATTGATCGACAGTCGGAGAACACCAATCAACCCCTATAGGTTTAGACTGACCGAGGGGCCGACCCCCTTCCAATACGCATGCTATTTGAACCCTCCCGAAAGGGTTGGGATTCGAACCCCCAACTCGAGGGTCTTACCCCAAGGCCGCTATCAATGAGTCAAGGCTCACGTGCACGTACACACACACACACAAAACAAGGCCGAATCCCTTTTCTTTCTAAAAGATCGCTATTGTTTACTAAACAAGTTATTATAAATAGGAAGAAACACGGTAGACAGCCTTACCTCACGCGCTTTGAATTCTTATGCTTGCTGTCCTCATCAGACCCTTCTTCTAAAGACTGAGAGGTTACTGAAGCATCCGAACTACCATGGCCCACCTCCTCATCCTCCATTACGGGATCAAAATATTCTTCGATCACAGAGGAACTCTTCTTTGCTGATTGAGGATGAAGTGAAAGATATTCACGTGACTGTTCATCAACTTCAAAGTCCTGCAAAATGCGCAGAATTAGTCAATTGAAAAATTAGGAAATCAGCCATCTAGAAGACAAAATAAGAAACTTCTATTAAATAGTTGGCAAAATGAAAATAGCAAATATAACATGCCATACAAACAAGTAAAAAAGTACATGATCTTCTCCAATAAATCAATTATCATCATGATTAACTATATTCTAACTATTTAGAACTAGCATTATGAATCATCCTTTTAGAAGCATTAACAATAAGCATTCAACGTAGTTGTTAAACCTACTTCACGTACTGAATGACATCTTTTCATGTTATCTTCTTTCCTCAAAATGTTGCGACAAATTTTATCTACGTAACTTATAAGTGAATTTTTTACTTTTATTGTGCAGGCATAAACCAACAAACTTATTCTCCATTGCCATCTTTAATAAAAGCTACTTCTATTCTCTTCATATATATATATTGGGTACACATCATCTTAACATTCTAATTTCCATAATTCACTATTTTTACTACCCAATGCTTGGATTCACACAGCATATTGGATCTAATTATTTTTTTTCCTACTTTTTGATGTCATGTCTTCATGAAATTCTCATATCACACAACGCTCTTGAAGTTTCTTTTTTTAACATACTACTAAAACACTTTGCATTACATTAACAAGACTTTCTCCAATTTTTTTCCAAGTTAGAAGCATCTTTTCATCCATATTATAATAAAAAGAGGAAATATCAATTGCTAAATAAAAGATTGGTAACAAGGATTACAATATATAACCTTGACGGTTGAGGTCAATGCATTACATTAACAAGACTTTCTCCAATTTTTTCCAAGTTAGAAGCAACTTTTCATCCATATTATAATAAAAAAAGGAAATATCAATTGCTAAATAATAGATTGGTACCAATGATTACAATATATAACCTTGACGGTTGAGGTCAATGGCACTAACACACTATTGTGGTGAAGCATCACTATAATAGGCATTCCAATGAATTATTATAGTCATCAAAATTATCATTATCATTACATGAAATATTCTTTGATGGCATTATTAATCCACCTTATCCATTCATTACAGAAAAATATATATTTATAGAGAAATATTCAATTAGGAAGCAAATTTTGTAGCCCAAAAAGGCAGACATCAATTTAGTGACATCAACAATTCATTATAGATTTTCAAATACTAATGAGGTCAATATCATTTCTATTCTATAACTATCCCACAAGAACTATGCATTTAAACAATAGACGGCATCACCCTTTATTCTACTTTGTACTTCTTAATTCCCTCCTAACTCTCTCTCAATATAAGGTACTATAAAAGTAGGTGAATCCCAAAGTAATTTCAATATAATTTATTACCCATACAAAACAAATAATCTTCGAGAAGTTGGGAATTAGAGCAAAATTAAAAGTGGCTAAACCCTAACAACATCGTGAAAACAATAAACATAGCCCCACCATGCCCCTAAAGTAATTTGTATATGCTCTATAATAATGGAAAATAGTTTTTGAGATTGTCCAAACCAACTAGTTTATAGAAAAGTTAAAGTGATTTAAAAGCGTTCAATGAAAATGAAAAAAAAAAAAAAACAGTTTCCACTTGTACCTTATTCTCAAACATTGCAGTAAAACGCTCATCCTTCAAAATCTCAGTTGTCAAGCCTCTATTTTTCTTTGAAGATTTTTTTTTTGTATTAGGGCCATCTGCCACTGTAACCTCACCTTCTGCTTCCTGATTTTCAAGAAGTTTGGCAGCAAGTAAACGGTTTACTTTGGGCAACTTCCTTTTAATCTGTAAAATTAAATTTATGAGCAATTTCTAAATATAAATAATGTGAAGCAAAACAGCATGAAAACAAAAATTTTAAGTTACCGTAATACGAGAAGCGCGGTCAGCCTCTATCTTTTCCTGTTTCTTTTTCTCTATATAAGCTTCATAAGCAAATGGATCTGCAATAGCTTGGGCCTGCAAAATATAAATGATTCAATTCCTATCATAAGTTCATAATATTGTTGTAAACTTACAATAAATTATTTAGAAACTCAAAGGTATATATAGAGGCTTCTCAAATCCATTTAAGATATTTACAAATTAACAAAATATGATATATGACAGGAATTTTATTGCACTGTAATTTTGAAAATAAATAATGATAATGTCTATTACAAGGATACTTACAATTAATAGGAATAATATTTATCAAGGAGGTGCAAGGTAACATTTAAACAAATAACTGTAAAAGAAATAATAACTCAAAAAACAAAAAGAGCAAACATGGCAACGACAATAAATTGTAGAGATATAACTCCGTCATACGTACACAAAAAAATGCAAGAAAATAAATTTGCAACCCAAAAAAAAAAAAATCACAGAAACCGGCAAGAAAATAAATTTGCAACCCAAAAAAAAAAAAAAAATCACAGAAACCAATTGATTTCTTTAGTAACAAGAATGACCATTCCTTTGCAATCTACAATTTATAGGCATTATAATTGCTCAAGTCCTTTATAGGGCAGAAAAGAAGTTTGCCTGGGAACCTACTCCTCGAGAGCCAATTTGTTTTAATGTAAGTATTTGAAAGTGGTTGGAGCTTACTTTCCGAAAGTGAACTTCATAGAAGTTCCAGTAGCTTCTTTGTTTTGCATGCACTCCTTGAAATTCAATTTTCATGTTTGTTTGAAATACAATGATTTTCATTTGTATCTAATAATTACTTAATTTTGTATCAGTTCATTATTATTATGAATACAGTAATCTCCCACTAAACTTTGGTTTAACTTTATGTTACAACATAAGTAGTTTATGCAAAATGATTAAAAGGAAGGTGACGTTCAAGAATCCACAAGTGAAACTGATTTCTTACTTTTACTATGACAGCAAGTTTCAAATATAAGAACTCACATTAGTTCACAGTTGAGGAAAAAAATACTGAAATTGAGTTCTATGACTTGTAGTTTAAAAATGCATTTGAGGTTCACACCTTGAGGCTCGTCTCGAAACGAGACGCACAAAAAATCCTTGAGGCTCTAAGCCTCACTATCACCAATGAAACTTGTGTCTCTCTTGTTAGGGGTGCACACCTTAGGCGTTTGAGGCAATGCCTCATATTATATTATATTATATTATATTATATTATGTTAGATTATACAAAGGTAAAAAGATATTTTAAGAAATAATTAGTTCATTATTTATTGACTTAATCTTTTAATTTAAATCATATTGGATTTCAAATTAAATGATAGTAAAAAGAAAATTATACTGTATGAAAAATATTTTAAAGTTGCAAATAAGATGGAATTACATTATAATAAATATGATGATTCCTATGAAGATGATGAAAACAAAGAATGAGGTTAACTATAAATCTTGAATCTCATGAAATATTTATATGTTAAGTGAACGTTTATATAGAATCATAATTTAAACTTCTATTTTATATAAATATTTAAGATCAAGATTTAAGATTTTTCTTCATGATAACAAACTAAATCAACATATCCATAGTTTATATCATACTTATGAATTTTTTTTTTAAATTTGAGGCTTACATCTATATCTGCCCAACTTTTCTAAGAAAAAATACATAGTTCTAGATTTCACCTTAATAAACTTTATAGTATAACTCAATTTCAATCGCTTGCAAGCACTAATGTTAAAACAAACTAGCTAAGTTGACAAAATAAACTTGACATACCAACATCATAAATGCAATTAAAATGGAAAAATAAAAGAAAACACTTCAAACAAAACAAATTAAACATATCACAGGTCCGACATAGCGGAATTATGGTAAGTTGATTCACTACACATAAAAGCAACAACTATGAAGCACAGACCTTCAAAATGCCTTCCATGCTCATGTTGGCACTTATGAGACACATGTAGCTCCACCGTGGTTTTTTTAGTGCAATTACATGTGGCTCCACCTGGCTCCACCTTTTTTCTCAAAACTTGTGCGAACTTATTATTCTGTGTTGTTGTTTTGTTTCTAATTAATCATAAGGGATTGTGCTTCCATTTAGATCTGTTACAGTTTTTTTCTCAAAACTTGTGCGAACTTGCTGTTATTTTGTGTTGTTCTTTTGTTTCTAATTAATCATAAGACACAGTAAAATTGGGAATTGATCTCGTTATTTCTAACAGATGGGTGGCATCCTATAAATTTACACCAATTGGGCAAAACTGTGAGGCCATTAGGCCAATGCAGGCAATATCTCGATAAGTGGGTAGCCTAATAAAAATGGTATCAAAGGATTACAACAACCGGAAGATGGGAACTATTTCCTATAGAATAAAGCATTACGCCATGAGAGCCACCTCTTAAACACAAGATGAGACAAAGTGCTACAAGGTAGCAGCCACCACTAGAATCCTATTTGCCTGGTGAATGCTTTTGGGTTAAGAAAAGAGGTCGTCAGCTACTTGAGTGGGAGAGATTGTGCAACCTCTCAAATAGAACGAAGTCGAACTCTGATATATGCGTTAACCTAAACCACAATGGAAATACAAATATTATTGCTAAAATTCAAATAGCTTGCAACAACTCAACATAAACAATACAAACATGCAAACGGAAAGGACAAAGACAACCCTATGAAAAATAAGAAAATAAAGCAAAACACATAAGCAACTATCTCTAGGGAGAGCGGCAATTTCAGTAAGACCAAAAGAGAGCGGCGGTAGACTGGAAGATGATGATCAACAAATGGTCGCAGTTTTGGGAATTGAGGATAATGACAGGAAGAGGGCTAGAGGTCTTGTCAGCAACAACAAAGGGGGAATGTGTGGTGACTGGAAAGAGACTGAAGAGGAGTTGCAGTGGACCTAGACAACAACAGGCAGGTGGTGGTGGGCTTGGACAACAACAGTAACTGGTGTCCAAAGGTTAGACAACAGCTGGACGAGGTGAGGGTAGATTCGACAGCTGCAGGAACAGGTGTCGGCGTGCTGGCTCGCAACAGGTACGAACCCTAGAGGGGTTGACGACAACAAGAACTGTCCTGGAAGGACTTGGCAGTAACAGGAAAGAGCCTAGAGGCCTGGACGGTGATGAGAAGATGGTTGGAAGATGGCTTGTGGCTGCTTACAAGATCAGAAAATATTATTCACATCTACTGAAAGAGGGGTTGGAGGGGGCTGAGGAAGGATAAATGTTTCTCCGGAGTCAAGCTAAAGCCGGAGCA